AATTCTGATTTCATGTGAACTATTTCTCTTGATGCTGTCCCACATGATTTTTAGGTGTTTTAAATCTTTTGCTCTTTTTTCCTGAATGTTTCTAACACAATGTTTCCCAAAATGGGTAGTACTGTCTCCTGATGGACACAAAGATGATTCAGGTGGGCGTGGGGGGGGGGAGACTGTAAAATCAGATACCTACACTTTAATCCTGGATTATGGGCTATGTAAAACATTTTTAAATATAAGAGGGCACTGAGAAAATTTTTTTCTCTAAAGGGAGTAGTACACAAAATAAATTTGTGGAACTATGCTTTAACATATTCATATTGAGAGATTTGTCTTTAATCTCACTAATTATTTTTTCTGTTGATTCAATTCAACTTCTTTATCTTTCAATGTATTATCTATTTCTGTTATTTTAGTATTACTCTTCTGGATTTTATTTGCTACTTTTTAATGGTTTCTATTTTTTTCCCCATTTATTTCATCTATGTTTCCTTTTAGTATTTTCCTGAATGCTTCTAATGTTTTTTTTCTTCTTTGTTCTCTATGATTTTGTTTGTAACTTTCTTGATTTTTTTTTCAATTAATTTAAAATACCTAAAAATCATGCTTTCAAATTCCCCATCAAGTAATTTCAACATCATATCTTTTCCAGGAAGGCTTTCTGACTCTGTGTTTTCTCATTTGTTTGAGCTCCTCTGTCTCGTTTCTTCGTGTTAACTGAAATTGTTTATTGTGTCCAAGACATTGTGCTGTTTTAAACCTGTTTTTAATTGTTGAATGTATGCTGGTGTGTTTTTAGGTACTCACTACCTGTCTTTTAGTGGGTGTGATAAAGAATAGGAGCATACACAGCTCTATGCTTGCTGTTTGTGTAGTGCAGTTGAGGGAAAACTGAACTGGTGTTGGCCACTCTCTATCATGGATCAGGTGTTACAGGAGTAGGTGGTGGTCCTCATATAATATGTAGGCTTTGGGATCTGTGGTTGTGGCTGGGCGAAGAAGGCAGAGTTGCTGTCTCCCATTGGATGAGACACCCCAAAAAGCTATATAAAAACAAAAACAAACAGAAAAAAA